TACCTTAACAATGATGCCTGAGATTTTATCCCTAAATGGTCCTGTTTGGAAAAGAATTAATAGATTTCTGGTGAAAAAATCTCTAAGTTGACCATAAGGTTAACTGAGTCTTTTTTTTCCCTTGTATTAATATATATATAACCTATTTTACTATTTTTAAGTGTACAGTTCAATGGCATTAAGTACATTCATGTTATTGTGCGACCATCACCAAAAATTTTCCATCATCTCAAACTGAAACTCTGTACTCATCAAACAATAACTTCCCCCTCCTCGTCCCCCAGTCCCTGGTAACCACTGTTCTACTTTCTGTCTCTATGAATTTGACTACCCTAGGTACTCATATAAGTGGAATCATATAATATTTGTCCTTTGTGTCTAGCTTATCTCACTTAGCATGTTTTCAAGGTTCATCCATGTTGTAGGATGTGTCAGGATTTCATTTCTTTTTAGGGCTGAGTAATATTTCATTGTATGTTTATACCAGATTTTGCTTATCCATTTAGCATGGATGAAAATTTGGGTTGTTTCCACCTCTGGCTGTTGTGAATAATGTTGCTATGAACACTGGTGTACAAGCATCCGTTCGAGTCACTGCTTTCAATTATTTTGTGTATATACCCAGAAATAGAATTGCTAAATAAAATGGTAATTCTATATTTAATATTTCCAGGAACCTCCATACTGTTGTCCACAGTGGCTGTGGACACCATTTTGCATTCCCATCACCAACACACAAGGGTTCCAATTTCTCCACATCCTCACCAACACATGTTTTGTTTTGTTTTTGATAATAGCTGTCCTAATGTGTGAGATGGTAAGGTTAACTGAATCCTACCTCTAGAATATTATTGCCTTGCTTTGAATGAATCTTTCATACAAGACGAGATCAGAATACCTAACGGGACGGTAAGCTGGGACTTCCCTGAGCTCACAGAGGTTACAGGACTGATTTAAGCCTGCTTGCTCATTTGCTGTGTGGCAGAATTTGGTCTGGGATTTGCTTTCCTTATAACCTGGTAGCCAGGTAATGGGGAAATCACTAACCATCTTCTGCTTCTAACTAATGATAGCTCTCATGATATAACAAAAAAACCTAAGAGTTGGGTCTCTTAATTTGGCTTAGGTGGGTTTTCACTCAAGGTGGTGGGTGTGATGGTATTTCTCTGAGAAAAATTCTTCTACATCATGGTTTTCCCAATTATTTCTAATGACTAACCCCAGAGTAATTTCTCAACAACAAATCTTCAGTTCTGGGCCCCGGGACATGTAAGTCACACCATAGTAGGATTTAAAATTATTCAGCTTTTACACAACTCAGCCCATCTGAGCCCTTCTCAGTCCCTCTGGCTCTCAGCACATACCTGTCCACTGTGGCCGGGGGCAGGGCCCCATGAGCAAGGTGTTGTGTGAGCACGTGGCTGAACATCCTTTTGCTTTCACTCGCCTGGTGGTAGGTGCTCCAGCAAATTCCACTCAGAAGGATCACAAATCCCAGAGGCAGAAGCCAATAGGACACAATCAGGCTCCCCTGACAGTTGAATGCTGAGCCTGTGGAAAGGAATAAGGCCCCCAGGCAGACCATCAGGAAACCCATCAGGACTGCGAGAGCACAGAGAATGAGGCTAGTTCTGTTCTGCATCCCCGCTCCTTAGGAACCCAGCACCCTGACCCTGCCACTCCCCTGCCTCCCGCTTGCTCCAAGAGAATGAGCTCATTAGCCAGCTTGTGGCTTTATATGCTTGGGGACCAACTGGCCTTTGGACGACTACATGAAGCAGACACTTAGGAGCTATTCATTAACCATCGAAAGTAACTGTAATATCCTTGGAGGATTAAACTAAAAACATAGCATTGTGTACTGCAGGAAGGACTGGCTTCTCGTAGTTGCTTTGCTCTTCAGAGCCGGGTAGGACTCTCAGCTGCTCCCAGTTATTTGAGGAGACGTCCCTCATCCTTTGATTAAAAAGGGCACTGGTCTCTAATCCCCACAGAAGGCAATTTCCAACTAAAACCTAGAGATATTAGCATTCCTTGAAGAGCTGTCTTCTTTGTGGTTTGGCAAGGAATCCTTCCCTGATTTCTTCTTTCTCTGTACTAAACAGGCATTTCTTCGAGGTTCTAACATGTGTTTGTCTTGCCTCCCTCAGCAAATCTCCCCTTACTGCCCTCTGCTCTGGTATTGAGAAAAGTCCAGGGTGGGAGCTCCACGATTCCTTCTCTGTTGACAAGAAGCCGAGCTCTAGCAGGAGGGGAAGGAGACTGCTGGAGAGAAGGATCATGAATAGACAGGGCCTTGGGAGTTTGGGGGGATTTCTGGAGATGGTTGTAAAAGATAACGATCTGGTGACTTGTGCTCTGATTTTGGTTTTGAATCTTTTCCACTGTTGGGACCCCAGTGTTGCGATTCCAGGGTTCTTTCTGGTCAACACCTAGGTGTTCAATAAGTATTTTTTGCTGACTGCTCAACCACTGGCCACCATTCCTGGCTCACTAGAAATATTTGAGCCCGCTCCCACCCTCTTTGCTCTCAAATGAAGCCACAGGCATTTGCTAGAAGAGCATTCCCCAGTGTATAGCATGTTACCACCTCCATGCAAGACCAGCACACACATGTCAGAAATGCTGCCTGTTCAGTCCCTACCCTCCTTCACACACACCTTCGAGTTTCACAGAGCACACCAGCATGTTAAAGGCTCTGAAAACCCTGCAATCTTTCCCACTCATAAAATATATACTAAATGAAATTTGTTTTAGTAGGAAAAAAAAAAAAAAAGTTCCCTGTCCTCTCCCCGACACCTTTGTTCTATGTAGCATTGCCTCAAAAAATCTTTCCCGAACCAGACTTCTGTTTCCTGTCTGGAGTTTGTTTCCTTTATCTTGACTGTTCTGGGTTGCAGACACCTTATTCCAGATCTGAGTTTTCCTGATTCCTCCCTTTTCTATCTGAGGCTTTGGCACGTCCCTGCCAAAGTCTCCTTCCCAGAGGGACCCTGGGACACTTCTGCCCACAGAGGTTATCTTCAGGTCCTCTGTGCTATTCCTCTACTCCATTACCATTGTTTTCCATTTGCTTTCCCAATGGGAAAAGCAGTTCTTTGTGCCGTGCTCCAGCAGTTCCGTGTATACCCTTTAGCCTCATACCCTCCATGTTCTTAGCTCCACTATCCTGTTAGGGCTCGGAGAGAGAGGAAGATGCTGTGGATCAGAAACGATATAAGGCTCTTTTTCCCCATTCCACCCCCAGCCCCTACCTTTATGAGCTTCAATACCGACCCTGACCTACTTCCTTCTTCTAGTCTTTTTGTCTTCTTTTTTAAAAAAAATTAAGAATATTCATGAGATACAAAGCTAATTGTCCCCCCTCCTGCCCATGATGTGAGGGCCAGATTCATAAAGGGGGCATATCCTTTACCAGAAATTAGTTTTCTACCCCTCGTCCCCCCCAATTATCCCCCAACCTCCCTCCCCCTC